AAGATGTCATTTAGAATTCTAAACAAATACAGCCTAGACTATAATGTTTTGCTAACTCCAAAACCTCGACTATCCCTTACTAAACTAAAGATGAATTCAATTCAAGTTGTGATTAAACTTAAACATGTCCATGTGCAAAATCGGCTAGTCAAGCCCGTAGACCGCATGCCTTAAATCGTCCCGTGGTTTTACCCAATTCAGTTCAAGTTCATGATATTTCACAAATTGAATTGTCGGTTCCGAACTAGAACTGACAGTTCGACGGAATTTAAATTTATTTTACTTTTTATTATTTTTTTACTATAATTTTTTTTTTCGGTTCGTCCCAGAGCTGACGGCCGATTCTGAACCATGAACTGTCGGTTCAATATATCCTCAGACCGGTTCCGATTCACATAAAATGACCTGAATCAGTGATTTTGACATGTAATCTATCCGAAATCGGAAAATGATCATGTCTAATTAGCCTATGTAATGCGTACAAAAAGTAAATGAGTTTTAGGCTGTCAAAATCTAGCTAGTTTATTAATTGCAATATATTTGACAATCTGGTGTTAAGAATGAAAATGGGCCAAATTGGAAAGCAGTTCGGAGACATCGTAGGTGTAGGCAGAAAAGTGGGCTTTGGAATATAAGTGCATTAAATATTTCCAATGCACTACTATTAAGAACAAAAACTAAGTGTCATTTCATTATTGAAGACACTGTCTTCATATTTATTTCTTTAATGGGTACTGTTATGATTCAATTTGTTATGATCCAATCAAGCAGTTGATATAAGAAGCAAATCATTAAGCGAATGTTCTGAGGAAGAATCGTTATATTCAAACTGTTCCAGAATTAGTCCTCCAGAGTTTCAAGACAACCTGAAAAGAACCTATCAGCAGAGCCCGGACTCTGTTCTTGAACAAACTCATATTAAAAAAAAAATCTACTTCTGAAAGTTTTTCAGCATAGATAATGATTATCAATATAACTTATTTCATCAACATTTCGTGTATCTTTAATCTGATCTGCTATATATCGTTAACTTTATAGACATGCTGCTGCAAGTGCAAATTGAAGCTTTAGACTTGGATGTATGCGTGTGCCTATGCTTTGCAGTTTGCCCATGGAGTTGTACGTGCAATTTTGACACGAGAAAACAATGAGGAATATGAAGATCTGACCTAGATTTGGCGTGGATTTTGGTTCTGAATATATGAACTGAGTTTTGAGTGTTTTAATTCTTGAACGTGGATATTTGTCACATAAATTAAAATATAACTTATCAAAGGGAGTCAAATCATGTGTTGCTAAGATCTAAAGTATTAATTTTGGTAACATTATAATGAGAAAGATTAATGGATGCATGTCACGTGTATTTTCTGTAAACAATTTTAACATATATGGCATGATATATTTTGTAAGCTACTCCCTTAGCTACAACACTTGGCCATCAGTTAAAATATTGAATGGGACTCCNAATGGGAAATTTTGATTTACACCAAAATTCTCTGGAATTGTTGAACTTTATAATTTCTGGCTGGAATCTGTATATTCAGGTTTATATTGATTAACTAGATTATAATAAAACTACTTATACTTTTCATATAAATTCATAAATTTCCAATAGATTTTGAATATGAAAAAGTAGAGTCACACTTATAGGCGATTTAGTGGTGCAATTTCTTCATTGACTTGATGATGCCACTCCAAAAGACTGTTTTCACAAGTTCAACCATGTTATAATATGTTGGCCAACTATCTGCATATACTACATAGTGGAGGTTTAATTATAAGTCTCGATGTGCACTTAAGCACTATTCACCATATTACTTTTCTTTTTACCGTGTCCTTGAAAAATAAGCTAGTAGTATAATACGAATTATTTTCTGCACAAGGGGATTATATAATAAAATGATTATCCAAACAATATGTGAACATATAATTATTAACGTTGACAATATGGCGTGTAAGGCCTCATTATTACAAACATCAGTTATGGAGGTTTTGTAGTTGTAAGCAATAAAAAAATTAAAAAAATAAAAGTAAATCTCATGAAAACTAATCGTCCACATTACACATTACCAGCAGAAACAAAAGTTATACTCTTTAGCAAACCATATGTATCTTTGTATAGTAAGATGAGAGACTTAGATGCACACATTTACTAAGTAGCTATAGCATACCTTCATTTATTACAAACTCCCGAAAAATGGCAGCTAAACAATATAAACATTTATCGTCTATTATGAAGAGGGTTGGAGCCTGTGGGCACTATTCGTTTCTCTGAGGCAAAACCTTTAGCCAATGGAGCGTAACTTTTTCCAAAACGGAAAACTTGAACTTGACGAACGTCTTTATGATTTCCGGCCAAAGGTCGAATGGCTATTTTTGTGGGAATTGTTGATAAGAGAAGAGAGGTGAGGAAAATTATCACAATTGACATGGTCATGTATATGGAAGTTTATGTGCAATGTGCAAGAGAAATTTAGTTATAATTAAAGAGACTACAACTATAAGGAGCATCATATATAGTGTGATTGGTTTTGATCATGTGTGGGTTTTTTTGTTTGACTTTGTTTTGCCAATTGTGGTGGGTCTCATGATCATGGAGTGAAATTAAGATCAATATTTGGCCTTTGAAATGACTAATTTGTAGACCTATTTGCTTTGGTGTTTGACTTTGACAATCACAATTCCACTAGTTGGTGTTGCATATAAATAACACATATACACCCCAAAATTCTTATTATTATATTTTGACAAGAAAAAAAAATATGTATTTATTAAGCAACACGTAATTTTTTAAATAGATGTGCTCTCTAATGCTCTCTCTATTAATGCTCTGCGAATTGTTCTACATAATTGAGGTGTCCGAGTGAATTGCCAGGTTCCAGCACTGCTTATATTCCTGGCCCCAATTAAATTCTCTTAACTGAAATGCAACTTCTAAGAATCGAAATCCTCACGCTGAGCTTGCAAGTCAGCCATGCTATTTTTCAGCACCACTATGCCTCTGTGAAAAAAAAAATAAAAAAAAAAAAATAATAATGACTGGGGTATGTATTTGACACGTGAATGTGATGGCCTTTTCAGGTCAAAGAGTAACATTCAAGGGCTCCAATTTCTGATGAGAAAAGGGAAGTTTTAAAACGTATGATAATGCCTCATAAGTTATGATAATGCCTCATAATTTCAATGGGCCTAATGGCACAACCCAATCACCCAATTGCCTCAACTAGCTCAATGTTCAATAGGAGTTCTAATAATTTTGAAATTATAATAGGAATAATTTATTTTGGGTGAAGCCTACCGTTAGGCGAATTGATTCATTATATGTTCGTTAAAAAATGCATATTATAAAATATTATATTTTAGTTTGCATTTTTTTTAGAATATGGTATTTTAATTTGAAAGTATTAAAAATATATTTGACTATCTAGTTGCAACAAGGTTTCAATTAAGCAGTTTTAGTCTTAAAGTTCCAACATTTCGCCTTTTGGTCTTGTGATTTAATAATTTGCTGCAATTTCGGTCCTTTAAGGAATGGAATTGAAACAAATTTCCAAATTTTCATATTTTCGATTAGCAAATTAGTCCTGCAATTTAAAATTTTGTTGTAATTTCAGTCATTTGATAATTGAAATTGCAGCAAAATATTAAATCCAATGTCCAAAAGGCGAAATGTTGAAACATTAGGATTGAAATTGCTATGGTGTTAAACCAACAAGACTAAAAATGCATTTTTGCCTGTATATTTTCAATAATTTAATCTGTAAATTTTTTTT